CTCCTATACACATTCTGCTGAAAACCAAAGATAAAGACAAAATGAAAGCACCAAGTGAAAGAAACACACATACATGCAGAAAAATAAAGGAAAAAATTATAGCAGCTTTTCTCATATGAAAATTGTGCAAGCCATCAGATGGTGAAACGGCAATCTTAAAGTGCTGAAAGAAAATGATTGTCAATCAAAATTCTATACCTAGCTAAAATATTTTTCAAATAATTGAGAAAATTTTTTCAGACAAAAGCTGACATAATTCATTAGCAGCATATACACAATATAAGAAACGTTAAAATGAAGAATACTTCAAATTGAATAAGTGAAGGTAATAAATAAAAATACCTAAAATATTTTCAAATATAAATGTCAAACATGTTTCAAAGAAAAGTTGAGACAATTCATTAGTGACATATATATGCAAAGTTAAAGAATGTTTTGTGTGGCATAAATTAGGTGAATATAATCTTTTCTCTTTTTAAATTTTGTTTGGTTTTAAGGAGGGTTTTTATTTTAATTATTTTTAAAGATGGGGTCTCACTCTCATACCTAGGCTCGAGTGTAGTGGCACAATCACAGTTCACTGCAGCCTTGAACTCCTGGGCTCAAGCAATCCTGCCACCTCAGCCTTTTTTTTTTTTTTTTTTGTCTTATTTTAACCATTCTAAGAGACAACCAATAGTCTAGAGCAAAGCAGTATCAGTGTATTATATGTTTATTGCATGTATAAAAGTAAAATATATGACATCAGTAAAACAAAGGATAAGCAGGAAGAATTGAGAGTATACTGTTGCAACACTGTCAAACTATATGTGAAATAGTACAGTATTATTTCAAGATAGACTGAAGTTAATTAAAGATACATGCATTAGGGATCCTTGGGTGACCATTAAGCTTTTTTAATGTAAGCCTAGAGTGAATATGTAATGAAATCACAAAAATACTCAATACAAAGAAAGCAGAAAAAATTAGGATAAAGGAAACAAAGAACAGATGGAACAAACAGAAATGAATCTAGAAAGAAGATATATTTTAATTCAGCAATATCAATAATTATATTCAATACAGTTAAAATACACCAATTAAAAGTGGAAGATTGTCAGATTGAATTATAAAGTATGAACCAATTATATGCTATGTACTAAAAACCACTATATAAAATAGGTTTAAAGTTAAAGAATGGAAAAGAATATATCGTGTCAACACTAATCAAAAGAAAATTGGAGTAGCTGTATTAATATCAAAGTACATTTCAGGACAAGAAATATTACCAGAGGTAAAATTGGTATATTACATAATGACAATGAGGTCAATTCACCAAGAAGATATATATTTCTAATATGTGTATGTACTTAACAACAGAGCTTCAAACTATATAAAGCAAAAACTGATAAAAATTTTAAAAATAGCCAAATCCACAATCAGAATTAGAGACTTCAATACTCCTCCCTTAGTGATCAACAGAACAAAATCAGTAGACTCAAAAAAAAAAAAAATTGAGAGACAAGGTAAGTATTAGAAAATCTTCAAAGCAGCCTCAAACAACTCGTAATTTATAGAATACTCTTTCCAATAACGGAATATACAATCTTCCCAAGTGCACGTGAAACATTCAACAATTTAGGACAGATAATAAAACAAAACTTAATTTTTAAAAACTAAAATAATAGAAAGTATATGCCCAAGCCATAATGTAATGAAACTAGAACTCAACAACAGGAAAAGATATTGAATAGTCCCAATATTTGGAGCTTAACCAACACACTTTTAAATAATCAATGCAGTAAAAAGAAGTAACAAGGGAAATTAGAAAACATTTTTAATCAAATGAAAATAAAAACAAAATATATTAATATTAGATGCAGCTAAAAGCACTGCTGAGAGTTAAGTTTACACATCATAAAAGGAAAAAAGAAATAAAAAAATATTTCTAAAGCAAGAAAAACAAAGAAAATAACAGAAATCAATGAAATTAAGAACAGAAAAACAACAGAGAAAAATTAATGAAACAAAAAATGAGGTATTTGGAAAAGAAACACAGATAGATAGGTGGATAGACAGATAGATAATCCTCTAGCCAGACAGAGCAACAATAAAAAAAGACACTAAATAACAATATCAGGAAATAAAGGGAGAAATTACTGTAAATCCTAACAACATTTAAAAAGTAGTAATTAACTATTATGTCCATAAATTCAACAACAGAGATGAAATGAAAAAATTTCTTGAAAAACCCAAAGTGTCAAAAAATCACTTAAGAAAAAAACAAATAACTAGGTTACTCTTATACCTATTAAATAAATTGAATTTTGGTTTCAAAACCTTCCCACAAAGAACAATCCCAGGCTCAGAAGACTTCAGTGAAAAATTCTAACAAACATCAAAAAATAATAATAATAATTGTATATAAATTTCTAAAAAGCCTATAGAAAAGCAGAAACACTTCACAACTCATTTTATGAAGTCAACATTACCCAGAACCAAAGACATTCCAAGGGAAACAACAGACCAATATCTCTAATAAAAATAAATGGAGAAAAATCTTCAACAAAAGTCTAACAAATCAAACCCAGTAATACATTAAAATTATACCATAACATGACCAAGTGGATTTTATCCAAGCTATGCAAAATTGGTTCAACTTTCAAAACATTGTGTAATTTCAACATACTAAACAAGAAAAGTCATATGATCATCTCAATAGATATAAAACAGCATTTGACAGAATTTAACATCCTTTTTTGATTAAAAAAAAAAAAAACTCCCAAGAAGTTAGAATACAAGGAAACTTCTTCACCATAATAAAGAGCATCTACAGAGGCCTGCACCTAACTACTAAGTAATAGGAAAAGACTGAAGTGTTTACACTGTTTAAAATTGGGCAAGGATATTCACTCTCACTAGTCTCTTTTAACATTATAGCAGAAGTCCTATCCAGTGTAATCAATCAGGAAAAAGAAATAATAGACATTTGACATTGGAAATAAATAAAACTAGAGACAACCAAAATATCCCTTACCTGATCAATCAACAAAATGGTGCATTCATTCAATGGAATACGATTCAGCAATTAAAAAGGGAAAATTACTGAAACACACAACAACATGGATGAATCTCAAATGCATTATGATAGGTGAAAGAAGTTGGACTCAAAAGACAGCAAACTGTAATTCCATTTATATGACATTCTGAAATGGATAAAACAACAGAAACTAAAAATGTATCCACATGTGCCTGGGGCTGGAGTAGAGAAAGAATTGACTAAAAAGGAATGTAGGAGAATTATCTGACATAACAAAACCATTTTATACTTTGATTGCGGTGGTTACAAGACTGTGTCTATTTGTCAAAAAGCACAGAACTATACACTAAGGATGAATTTTATTATAGTAAATTATACCTTTAAAAAGGAAAAAAAGAGAATATGTATACATGTAAATTTTCGAATGAGATTGCTTCTTCCTATAATAAATGTGGATACTGGGTAGGTTCTCAAACTCTCTCGCCATCAATTTTCTCAACTGTCAAGTGAGAATAATATCATCTACCTGTTAACATTGTTAGCTTTTCTTGTTGCTGTTCCATCTCGTACCCAACACTGTGCTCATTGTTAAAAAAAAAACAGACATGATATGGCATGGTCCCTGCCTTCCTGAAGGCTCCAATCTAGTGCATAAGCATTGCTTGAAGGGCCAAATAAACACAATTGTTTTACTGCCATTAGATTTTATAATTACAAAAATTAGCAAAATCAGTGGTAAGCCAAATTTACATTAATTTCAAATATAGTTCAACCTTTTCAAGAATTTTCTAAAACAGAAATCAAAATGTCAATTCAAATCTAAGAAAATCCACTGCTGGCCCAGATATTTCTAGAATATCTCTACAGACAATTTTAAAAGACTCAAAATTGCAATTATCCATAGTTTATCAGGTTCAGAAAGAATACCTCACTTTTACCAATTTATTCTAGCATTTCAATGTTACCTTAATTTGAATATCAAGAAAGCATTATAAGAAGAATATGAAATTGCTTCCTTGTATGACAAGATTTCATATATCTGGATAAAACTGTTCCCTAAAAAGACAAAGCTAATAGGAATCCTGGAAAATGAATGAACTATAAAGTACTCAGAAAAGTCTGCTCTCTGCAACAAGAAGGACATTAATATTTTGTATCACGTAAATGATTCACCAATCTGTATGACTTATGTGTCATTACAACTACACGTCATGCACCCATACCCAACTCTCTTCTGTCCATATCATTTACCTCTGTCCCTTATCCAGGTGGAATGTCCTTACTTCAAGGTTAGAGTATTAGAGGCATGAGAAATTCATGCTGGGACACACTACCACTACTTGTAGAGAGTCAGTTACATTTTTTATCATATTCATTATACATTTATTGAAGACCCAACATGTGCTCAGTTCTCGCAGCATAAATCTTTACAGGCAGTTTTTATTAAATGTGTCCTTACCATTCAGAGCTAAAAGAAAATCAAACTATTCTTATTTCAAAGATTTCCTATCCACTGTCATCTCACATCACGTCTCAGTGAAACACTGTGAGAAGTGTTCTTGGAGTGTTATCAACTAAAAATTCTGCAATAAGTATGGCTTTTTGCACAGGATTTCACACTGAATAATATAGTAACATCTAGAAATTCCTAACCTAGAAGAAAAAAGAACACTTTACAAGATATTTTTAAAAGCATGACATGTGCACAAGGGGCTTCTCAAACAGAATCCACAGACTCGTTTTCACCATTTCACTTGCTCAGAACTATTGTGTTGAAATATGGAACTCCCAAACATGGATCTTCCAAAGTTTTATATATTGAAAATATTCCTAGGGATTATATCTCTCAATCAGAAGCCAGTATGTGGGAAGGTATAAGACAGAGAAAAATAAAATCCACATAACTAAAAACAAGTCAAAATAAAATAAGTAGAAATGCTCTTTGGAGGAAGCCAGAGAAAATGATGACTGGCTAGCTTACCTTGCTTTTTTCCATTAACAGTTTCTAAAGTACCAGGGAGCTGGCCGTCAAAGCCATGTTGAAGGCCACTTCTTTGCTTTTCAAGGTGATGCTCTTCCTCAGCAATAGAAGAAAGCACATGTGGTGACTTGTGGTCATCACTGGCCTGATTGGGCCACTGGGACATTGTGGAACATGAGTCCTTTGCATGTTGGCTAAGCCTGGGGCTTGAACCTTGGGCAGAGTCCTGCAAATCACTATTACAACATGAGAAATGATCCACTTCCAGAAACAAGGAATTTGCATCCTCTTGACTCCAATCATTTTCTTGTTCTTCATCTTCAAAGTACGTTTCCTGAATCTGAATATTATCTAAGTCCTGATCTAGCTTGTCATTCAACTTAGAGTCTTGTTTGCTTATGTTAACCAGCGAAGCAGATAACATATCTCCTGCTTGCTGGAGAGCTTCATAAACCCGAGATATCCAGGAAGAGAAAGGCTGGAAGAAGTTCTGAGCATCCTGAGAGGCCATGGCCAACGCCATGGCCAGCTATCTGATGTCTACAATGTCCACTTGTTCAGTTCCTCCAGTGCTCTGGATTGAATGTGAACTATAGAATAAGCATGTTGAGAAATTAAATTGGAGGTCTCTTAATGGCTGTGAATATTTCACTCTCAAAACTTCCAGCTGAAACAGAGGAAAGAAATACTTACACCTGTTAAAGTTACAACCTCAGACCCATCACCAGATACCTGCAAACAATGTCAAATAGCATTTGATCACAAAAAGAGATCATCATGGAAATCTTAAAATAGTTAAATAAAAATGACTATGAAAGTCTAGATTAGATTATTTCAATGACTATTCACCTCCATGGCCACGTGGAAAACTTCCATTAGCAGTAATGGGTTCTGTTTATGTGGACTGAGATAATTCTATCCTCCATAGACCACCCTTAACAGTGTGAAAAGGATAAATGAATCTTCATTGAGATCACGTTGGGCATGACATTTCAACATACAAAAACGGTCGGATGTTTCATCTACAAATCTGCAGACCCCAGAGAGCTGACTAATAAGCATCTCTGCTTTATGACACTAAAGTTTATACTTTCAAAGGAAATGTGTGTCTGGAATTAAAAAGCTTTAAACAAATCTTAAAATAGGATTTTATATTTTTATGCAATCTCTAGAAGTCATATCTATTCTTGGGGAGCAATCACTGAAAAACTGAGGGTGGCGAATGGATTATCTAGCTTACTGGAGACATGTCCCTGGAATCTCATTGCTTTTGTCTATGTTCCAACCTCCTGAAGATAGATTTGCTCTCTACCTACAACCTTTGAGACTCCTGAGACACACTTCATCCCACAAGATTTACAGACTGAAGGAAGCAGCTCCAGAACATTAACAGAACCACAGGACACTATGAACACCCTAGAGCTAAATATTTACACTTTTACATGTATACATGCATACAATGTATACATATGCACATGTGTGTATATTCGATGTGTTTATATCTTATTGCTATTACAGTGCTCATTAACAGCTCAAGATGAATGTTACAAATGACTAGAGGGCCTAAACTCACTGCTTAAACTTAATTACCCAATTATCTTGCATAGCAATAACTTCCTCTGACCAAATCTACTAGCTATCCCTTAGGTTTCAAGTCTCTTGACCTCAGTCACTGCATGTGATATGACTACTTACCTTCTAAAAATTTGTTATTAGCCATTCACTGATGCATTGACTTATGCAATGAACAAATATTGATTGTCTATTAAATGCTGGGCACAATGTCAGTGATAAGGTAATCCTGAGGTCAAATCTCTTTGACTCCATAGAGCCCACCTTTCAGTTAAAGGGAAACTGAGCTCTCTGCATTTTCCCCATATGCTGAATAATTCGTGTGTCCCTTTTTCAGGCTCCTCCTTGCCTTCCCATCACCTACATGTATACAACCAAATCTTGTCCTATGGCTTCCCTTCCTTATTATATTCGCCAGCTGGGAGAGTAGGCCCATTCCTACATTTCAATTAATACCTTTTTGAAACTCCAACATATACCTCTCTAGTCTTTGCTCAGTTTTTCTTTCCAGACTTATATCTGTGGCTGTCTAAGCCAGTGATTCTCAAACACTGGTGTGTCAGAACCACCCACTGGGCTAATAAAGAACACAAAGGCCCAGGCTGGTGGAAGGAAAAGGGCCTGATCTGAACCTTAAGAGTTTTGACAAGTACTCCAGGTGAGTCTGACACCCACGGAAGTTTGAGAAACACTGATAGACTTGGATGTTTCACTAAAATCTCAAATTCAGTTCATTCAAACCTAGCGGATCATTTTGCTGCAAGCATTCAGCACTGTAGACTGATAACACGGGTGATTTTGAACTTCCTCTCGTCAACACTGCCTTCTTCCATTCCAAATTCTGTTAGCTTTTGGTCTCCAAAGACTGTCTTTCAACATGTTTTGCACAGTTATCACATTTCCCACACTCTACATACCTAGTTCATTTCACACTCTCTTCTTTCCCAGACTCAATTCATTCTCTGTTTGCTCTCCGTAACCTGATTTTACATAAGGTTTATGCCTGTTTCCTCCTCTAGAATGGAGGCTTCATGGATGGCAGGGATTATCTGTTTTGTTCTCTAGTTTATCCCCAGTCCCTAGAAGTGTGCTGAGCACATAGTGAATTCTCAACAACAAATTCCACTAAAAATCACGCATAAAAAACACCACCTAACACATATTATGTACTCAGTAACTTTGATAATGGATAAATCCTATCCAGAGTGCTAAAAAGACGGTAAACGATGTTATCACGTAAGTTCCCTGCAGAGTAACAACAGTAAGCTTCCTTTTGCCATTTGTTCCATCCCATTTCACTACCCAAAGTTTTCTGAGGTATTTTTCCTCTGCAAGTATTTTGTATAAATTACTAAACTACAGTGCATCACAGATTTACAAGGTTCCCTCTGAGATTTCAGTGGCTTTAGCTCCCACAACTCTTTTTTTGGTAAGAGAAAATTTTTAAGCGAGAAATGACACATTTTCCTTAATCATTCTTTCCATCATTCTATTATACACAGAAAACTTTGTTTTTGTTGTTGTTATTATATTGAATTTTTTTATTCTTACTTAAGTTCTGGGATACATGTGCAGAACATACAAGTTTGTTACATAGGTGTACATGTGCCATGGTGGTTTGCTGCACCTATCAACTCATCATCTAGGTTTTAAGCCCCACATGCAATAGGTATTTGTCCTAATGCTCTCCCTCCCCTTGCCCCCAATCACCCGACAGGCCCTGGTGTGTGGTGTTCCCCTCCCTGTGTGTCCATGTGTTGTCATTGTTCAACTCCAGCTTTTGAGTGAGAACATGTAGTGTTTGGTAGAAGACCTTGTTTTCATATGCAACCCAACATCTCTGAATTTGGGCCAGCAACTTCTTGTTCAAATCTTCAAATCAGTACAGTGCATGTTCTCCACCTCATATCCCCTTGGTCGCTATAATTTCTATTCATCAAAACAAAAATGAAAAAATTCATTTTTTACCAAAATTGCCATTTTGATGAGCTGGCAATTTTTGTAAAAAATTAATTTTGATCACTCTCCTAGTTTTAAAGGAAAAAAGCCATTATGGTTACCTATTACGTAAACTGCAAAGTTTGAGCACTGGAGCTGTCAAAATCACTACTCATTCATGTTTGCTGATACAGTGTTTTTTCAAAATTAGTTTGAATCCTTCCAACTTAATATAATCTTCATCTCTCCCTGCTGTTCACAATCCACTTGCTTCACTCATTTCTATGTGGCCAGCCTGACCCCTGGATGCATTTGAATTTCCAAGCCCTACCCTATCAGATAAAATTCAAATTCTTTACTGTGGCATACAAGAGGAGAAATACTCAAAAAAAATTAATTAATTAACAATCAGCACCATCCAACGGGGCTTAGTGCTGGGGGGGATCCTAAAGTCCTCCTCCAAAGTGTAAACACTTTAATTCCTGAATCACTGGGTCTGAGGAGGTCTAGAGGTGCAATAGGACACTGAAAGGGGCTTCAGATCGGTGGCGATTTATCAACCAGGTTGGAACTAATTTGAGGACAACAGCAACTCACAGAGGACCTTTCGTCCTCACTGAATACCCAGCTATGTCTGAGATGTCCCCAATAATGCTGCCGCACCATGAGAACTCAGCCTTTCCTTATCACTCTTCGCTGTGAAGTCCTATGTGCCAGTCTCACTGACATACTAAGCATTTTCCAAAGTGACTGTGCTCTTTCCTGACTTCTGTTTGTTTTGCCCAGGATGACTGCTCTACCTAAACTACCTGATACTCACTTTTTACGAGAAAATGTTTATTGCTTCCTCTGTCAACTCTTCATCTACAATCAAAGGTGTGGTCTCAGAGTGCTTCAAATATGCCTTTATGATACAGTTTTTCCCTTGGTATGATGAATATTTGTCAGTCTTCCTCTTCCAATGGACTGGGAGCCCACAAGTGTGGGGGGCTGTGATTATACATTGTAGCTGCAGAATCTACACAGGGCAGGGGCTCTGCATATTCCGTGAATGAATGAATGAAGTTAATAGTGAAAATATCTGAGGCTAAGTAAACCTGATTCCTTTCTATTTATTCATCTCTAAAGTGGCATTAATACACTAGATGACCTCTAACACTTTCTTTCTGCTCTGAAACTCAAGAATTTGCCATTGCGTGCCACGAAACATTGTAATGTTGAGGCCGATACAACCAGAAGCAAGATGCCTTTTCACAAAATAGTTCTGTACTTTTTGTCAACAACTATTGTTAGATGATCCCAGAATAATTGAAAAGAAGTCAAATCTTAGTTTCTATATAAAAAGAGTGCCCAGTTGTTATATTCTACAATACTCAAAAAGGAATGAAACTTACAGATAGAATCTGAAAAATTACCTAGTTACCAACACCAGAGACCTTTCATTTTATACTAAATCAGCCTAAAGCCATGGGGGCTCAGCAATGGCAGAGTAACCACGGAGATATCCTGGCAGCTTAGGTAAATTTCAGCTTGATTGGTAGAGCACACCAAGGATCATAATGCCAGATGTATACTCTATCCTACTTCTTTGGTGGCTTTCTTACAGCTAACAAGAAGACAAAGTGGTTTCTGGTATTTTAGAAAATACACACAGAGAGAGAGAGAGAGAGAGAGAGAGAGAGAGAGAGAGAGAGAGAGAGAGAGAGAGAGAGATTGACAAAAAATAGACAAAAAGTCTAGTTCCCTGGGTTAGAAGGAAAAATACATTTAAGGTCTTGTCATATCTGAGAAAAGTCATTATTAGAATGGAAATGGTCCATGATATCTCAAATTATTAAGAAAGTATAAAATGAGACAACAAAAAAGATTGTGGTGTGTGTATGTATATGTGTTTAACATACAAACTTCTATCACAAACATGAGCTGGGAAGATTTATGACATATTGAAGTACTCAGAATAAACCGGCAATCTGAGACATAATTAGTAGCAATTGATAAAATAAAAAAGCCATAAATAAATATATTCTTAAAGGCTACTTTTTTTAAATTTTTGGTTTAATTAGAATTATATTTTAATTAAGATCATTTTATATATAGGAAATGGCTAAGCAGTAAATATTAAAGAGTTGTGTTTCTATAGAAAGAAAAACTATCCAA